CGCACCCATGACATGCTCACAAAATTCCAAATGGGTTTACATACTTAAAATGTTTGCCCTTTGTTAAGAAATGTGCGTGTGTGTATATAATACATGATTATTAAAGGTTTTCAGGTCTATCAAAACAAAGTTAGAGACAGATCGAAATTAACTTATCAGGATGCTGCTTTAATATTTGGCAATCCGTTTTCATGTGAAAAAAAATCTCAATCTCTCTCTCTCTCTCTCTCTCTCTCTGTGCACGTGTGGAAAATAACTGTGGCTAGGACAGGCCAGATTTCCAAACTAAAATCTAAAGTTATCACATAAAAGTAAATTTATCTGCAAACATACTCATGCCATTTCTGTATTTGTGAATATTATATTAGTTTCTATATTCTTATATTTAAAACACAGATTCAACAATGGATGGATGTTTAAAATTGGAAGAGGCCTTGATTATTTTAAGAAACCACAGGTAAGGGGTTTTGTTTTGTTTTGTTTTGTTTAACAGAGTTCCTGAATTTTTGATCAGAAAAAAACATCTTTTCTGCAGGGTCGTTTTTACCTTGGATATTGTGATTTTGATCTGAGACCCTGTCATGAAACTACTGTGGACATCTTTCATATTAAACACACAAAGAAAACATGATTCCTTCTGAAACCACTCCCTTTTTTTCTAGTGTAAATGTCTTGTCTAAATATATATTTACTGTGTGCTTTTACAAAATAAATAGCTGTTTAAGCAAAACAATACATTTATCTCAATATATCCTTAAAAGGGGCTTCAGTAATTAAATTTTGTTTAAATGAAAACCAGCATTCCTACCTTAATAGACATCAGGTAAAAGAAATGGGAAGAATTATCAAATCCTTAATTAATGAATAAATTAAATTAAACCACTACTGAATATATTTTAGAATTGCAATCTGACAAGATTTATGCATATGGCTGGGAGAGCCTTATACATGTGGCTGGATTTTTCCCCATATAATCTTCACTGCAGCCATTTTTACTGTGAAGAAGTACCCCACTTGGTTGTCTCTTCAACATTTGGTGGATGTTTTAAGGAAGTCTTCACAAGTATTCTTTTTTGTTTGTTTTCATTTACTCAGAGGAAGCATCTATCCACAATGGCTCTCAAACCAGAATCACTAAACTGAACAAGTAGCTGAAATGAACCTAGATACAGGTAGTCTTTGGGTTATGATCATTTGTTCAGTGACCAAAGTTACAACGGCACTAAACGAATTGTACTTATGACGGGTCCTCATAGGTTGGCTGTCATTGTGTCCCCATAGTCACAACTGCAATCCGGGCACTTGGTGCCCTGCTCAAAATTACAATGTCACAGCGAACTGTAGTCATGTGATTGTGATTTCCAATGTTCCCCACTGATTTCGCTTGTGGAAGCCGGCAGGAAGTTGCAATTACATGAGGTCCTTGCTTAACAACCTGTGCGGTCCTTGTTTAATGACACTTGCTGAACTGCCGTCATGTTTTATGACTGCATCACTTAGCAATAGCAATTCTGGTCCCAATTGCTGACGTAAGCCAAGCATTACCTGTACTTTTGAATTCAGCAGTATAAAAACAGCCAGCTACAATGTTTTCAATACAAAATTATATGAAGCTATTGTATATAGAAAAAAAAAGGTGCCTGCCAGATACTTTGAACATTAAAGGGGGCTGAATGGCAGAGGAGTTTTGGACAGTTACAGAGCAGTCACATGGGTCAAATAACATGCTGATGTCACTTTGAACAATGGAGTTTGTCTGATTAAGAAAACTCAGGAACATCCACTATATATATATATAAACACACACATACACAGAGGTAGTCCTCGTTTAGTGACTGCCTTTTTAGCGACCATTCTCAGTTATAATGGTGATGAAAGAATAACTTTCCAACCAATCCTCGCAGTTACGACCTTTGCAGGTTTGTAAAACAAAGCTGAAGTAAGATTGTGTGCAGTCACTGTTTCACTTAGTGACTGCCTCACTTAATGACAGAGTTGCTGGTTCCAGTTGTCGCTAAACAAGGACACACACACACACTCATATTCATTCATTAAACTGGATAACACATGCAGATGACTAGCATTTTAAAGGTAACAATGAACAAGGCATAACTTTTCTTGTTAACACAGCACGCTATACCAACCTGTAACATATATTGTATAAACATAGAAGAGCAAAGATGTATCCAGTTTTGGGGATCCTGATCCTTTGCCTGTTGGTATCCTAGTTATCTCTTTGTGCTCAACTTTTTTTTTGCAAGCTCTTACCTTATCTCAGGTACCTCAAAATAACCTTATCTGTTGCCACTACCACACACATTCCTGTCCAGTCAGCATGGAAGAAAATTATGCCTTGCCCAGCCAGCTTAGCCAAGTATTTCCTCAGAGCTTAATAGTGACCCACATCCACTGTACTTTCAAAATACTGTATGTTTGCAATTTACAGCTCATGTTCCATCTATGAGTTTCTTGGAGAACCTTTCTAGTCCTGGTGTGCCATTCCTGGGACCTGCTATGAAACATGCCTGTTGTAGTCAGTTTTTTCTCCTCAGAATCTGTTTTTGTCCAATAAACTGTTAGATGCTACCAATACTTTGGAATCAACTTACAAATAATTGATCACAGTCTATCTAATCCAGAATGCCAGGGAAACTGTAAACAAATTGCATTTATTGAAATCTTGTCCTTTTGAATGTTACTGGGTATATGTTGATAACTAGGATACCAACAGGCAAAGGATCAGGATCGATAACTAGGATACCAACAGGCAAAGGATCAGGATCGATAACTAGGATACCAACAGGCAAAGGATCAGGATCATTCAAAAGGACAAGATTTCAATAAATGCAATTTGTTTACAGTTTCCCTGACATTCTGGATTTTTTTTTTTTATAATATTGTATGATTA